AAATATAAAGCAGTGGGAGCATAAGGGAAGGGCCAGCAACTTGGAGGGCATTGTTTGTTTTTGAGGGCGGGCGTAGCATATTTGGCGGCTTGTTTAGGGTTTGTTGAGGGTGACCGTCTAATACGTCACGCCCGGCTTCTTGAGCAGTCTGACTGCCCTGCGAGGGCTTGCTTTGAAAAGCGGCCAAGCGGCAAGTTTTGGTTTCTGCGAGTCATCTCTTTGTGATTCCTCCCCGGCACCGCGGGGATTTGTTCACCTTCCTTTGAACCAATTTTCACGAAGGGTGCTTCTCAGAGTTGGGGCCGTGCAGCCGGTAAAAGATGGTGCGACTGTTTGACAGCTGCTGGTTTAAGGGATGTCAGAATAGGAGCAGCGCATATTTCTCATAGGCCGCCTAAGTGAAACAGGTCCACAGTCGCGCGATTTGATCAGTTGACACTTGCTCGGCGGGATATTTTTCGGATGAACTGCCAGCTTCAGAAGTGACGTTCTTCCAAAGATGCAGTTTGATGCTTTGCTTGAAGTTGGACAGGGGGCTAACGCATCGACTTGGAATCCGCATCGTATGAATTTTGACAGACCCGATTTGAATTGCTTTTGGAGTTGCACTCGTGAAAATGAACTTGGACATGTGGGCGACAAGGGCTGACAACAGTTTTCTGAACTTGCACGTTGCTTTGCTCCACATTGAGGCGTGGCCATATGTACTTTTTCTTTCTGGCGCGGTTATACCTTCGCTCATCTGGCTAAAGATACTTTCGCTCATCAGGCTAAAGCACCTGGCTAGATGTTATGCTTCTGCCAATGCTAGGCGTGGTGCAGCCGAAGTTACGGCTTCCCCCAGTGTCACATGAGCATCCATAAATCGCAAAAATAGCAACATGATGGCCAGCTGCAACAGCGCTTGTCAAAGGAAGTTTAACAAGAAACTTCCGTAGTACTGGAACTAAATGAGCTAGCTGCTTTGACATATAGCTATGACAGGTAGCTAGCATGACAAATAGATAGCTTTGACATATAGCTAGCTTGACAGATAGATAGCTTTCCAATAGGCTTGCATGACAGATAGATAGCTTTGACATATAGCCAGCTTAACACATAGATATAGCACTTTCGCTCAAGTATAGATTTCGTGGCAGGCGCAGCACTTTCGCAAGGTCAAGTATCGATTTCGTGGCAGGCGCAGCACTTTCGCAAGCACTCTCTGCGAGCTGGGGGATGGCAAGATGCAGAAAACGTTGGCGCTGTGCGTGAATTGGGCTTCCGGACTGTGCGCAAACCACCTCGGCTGCGACGCCTGTACGGAGGCGGTCTCGGAACGGTCTCGGAACGGGTTCGGAACGGGTTCGGAACTCGGAGACGGGCCCATTGGCACGGCCGCGCGAAGGTTTCGCAAGGTTTGAATGCGTGGCAGGCGCAGCACTTTCGCAAGGTCAAGTATAGATTTCGTGGCAGGCGCAGCACTTTTTCGCAAGGTCAAGTATCGATTTCGTGGCAGGCGCAGCACTTTCGCAAGCACTCTCTGCGAGCTGGGGGATGGCAAGATGCAGAAAACGTTGGCGCTGTGCGTGAATTGGGCTTCCGGACTGTGCGCAAACCACCTCGGCTGCGACGCCTGTACGGCGGCGGTCTCGGAACGGGTTCGGAACGGGTGCGGAACGGTCTCGGAGACGGGACCATTGGCACGGCCGCGCGAAGGTTTCGCAAGGTTTGAATTGCGTGGCAGGCGCAGCACTTTCGCAAGGTCAAGTGTAGATTTCGTGACAGGCGCAGCACTTTCGCAAGGTCAAGTATAGATTTCGTGGCAGGCGCAGCACTTTCGCAAGCACTCTCTGCGAGCTGGGGGATGGCAAGATGCAGAAAACGTTGGCGCTGTGCGTGAATTGGGCTTCCGGACAGTGCGCAAACCACCTCGGCTGCGACGCCTGTACGGAGGCGGGTGCGGAACGGGTTCGGAACGGTCTCGGAGACGGGACCATTGGCACGGCCGCGCGAAGGTTTCGCAAGGTTTGAATTGCGTGGCAGGTGCAGCACTTTCGCAAGGTCAAGTGTAGATTTCGTGACAGGCGCAGCACTTTCGCGAGGTCGAGTACAGATTTCGTGGCAGGCGCAGCACTTTCGCAAGGTGCTGCGTCCACTTTCTGCGAGCTGGGGGATAGCAAGTTGCAGAAACGTTGGTGCCATGAGCTAGCTGCTTTGACATATAGCTATGACAGGTAGCTAGCATGACAAATAGATAGCTTTGACATATAGCTAGCTTGACAGATAGAAAGCTTTCCAATAGGCCAGCATGACAGATAGATAGCTTTGACATATAGCCAGCTTAACACATAGATAGCTTTCCAAAGACTAGCATGACAGATAGATAGCTTTGACATATAACCAGCTTGACAGATAGATAGCTTTAAGATACATGGATGTGCGCGAAAAAAGCTACGAGAAAAGCTGAAATCAGGAGAGCTGGGGGATAGCAAGTTGCAGAAACGTTGGTGCCATGCGTGAATTGGGCTTCCGGACAGTGCGCAAACCACCTCGGTCGCGACGCCTGTACGGAGGCGGTCTCGGAACGGTCCCGGAACGGTCTCGGAACGGTCTCGGAACGGTCTCGGAGACGGGACCATTGGCACGGCCGCGCGAAGGTTTCGCTAGGTTTGAATTGCGTGGCAGGTGCAGCACTTTCGCAAGGTCAAGTATAGATTTCGTGGCAGGCGCAGCACTTTCGCGAGGTCGAGTACAGATTTCGTGGCAGGCGCAGCACTTTCGCAAGGTGCTGCGTCCACTTTCTGCGAGCTGGGGGATAGCAAGTTGCAGAAACGTTGGTGCCATGCGTGAATTGGGCTTCCGGACAGTGCGCAAACCACCTCGGTCGCGACGCCTGTACGGAGGCGGTCTCGGAACGGTCCCGGAACGGTCTCGGAACGGTCTCGGAACGGTCTCGGAGACGGGACCATTGGCACGGCCGCGCGAAGGTTTCGCTAGGTTTGAATTGCGTGGCAGGTGCAGCACTTTCGCAAGGTCAAGTATAGATTTCGTGGCAGGCGCAGCACTTTCGCGAGGTCGAGTCAAGTAAGATTTCGTGGCAGGCGCAGCACTTTCGCAAGGTGCTGCGTCCACTTTCTGCGAGCTGGGGGATAGCAAGTTGCAGAAACGTTGGTGCCATGCGTGAATTGGGCTTCCGGACAGTGCGCAAACCACCTCGGTCGCGACGCCTGTACGGAGGCGGTCTCGGAACGGTCCCGGAACGGTCTCGGAACGGTCTCGGAACGGTCTCGGAGACGGGACCATTGGCACGGCCGCGCGAAGGTTTCGCTAGGTTTGAATTGCGTGGCAGGCGCAGCACTTTCGCAAGGTCAAGTATAGATTTCGTGGCAGGCGCAGCACTTTCGCAAGGTCAAGTATAGATTTCGTGGCAGGCGCAGCACTTTCGCGAGGTCGAGTGCCAAATTCGTGGCAGGCGCAGCACTTTCGCAAGGTCAAGTACAAAATTCGTGGCAGGCGCATCACTTTCGCAAGGTCAAGTACAGAATTTGTGGCAGGTGCAGCACTTTCGCAAGGTCAAGTGCAAAATTCGTGGCACGCGCAGCACTTTCGCAAGGTCAAGTACAGATTTTGTGGCAGGCGCAGCACTTTAGCAAGGTCAAGCACAGATTTGGTGGCAGGCGCAGCATTTTTGCAAGGTCAACTTTCGCAGCCGGGGCTCGAAAATCGCAACTTTTAAGTACGAAAGTAGTACGCGAAGTCAACTTTCGCAGCTGGGGCTTGAAAATCGCAACTTTTAAGTACGAAAGTAGTGCGCAAAGTCCACTTTCGCAGCCGGGGCTTGAAAATCGCAACTTTTAAGTACGAAAGTAGTACGCAAAGTCCACTTTCGCAGCTGGGGCTCGAAAATCGCGACTTTTTAGTACGAAAGTAGTACGCGAAGTCCACTTTCGTAGCTGGGGCTCGAAAATCGCAACTTTTAACTACGAAAGTAGTACGTGAAGTCCAGTTTCGCAGCTGGGGCTCGAAAATCGCAACTTTTAAGTACGAAAGTAGTACGCGAAGTCAACTTTCGGGGATTGAACATCGCAGAGAAAGATGGGTAGATAGATAGATCAATAAACAGATATAGAGATAGCTAGAGAAATAGATAGAAAGAGATAGAGAAACAGAGATAGACAGAGATAGATAGATTTGTAGATAGATAGACAAATAACTAGCTAGATAGATAAAGAGATAGAGAGATAAATAAATAGAGAGGTAGATAGATAGATAGGAGATAGAGAGGTAGATAGATAGGTAGATCTATAGATAAATCGCAACTTTTAAGTACGAAAGTAGTACGCGAAGTCAACTTTCGCAGCTGGGGCTTGAAAATCGCAACTTTTAAGTACGAAAGTAGTGCGCAAAGTCCACTTTCGCAGCCGGGGTTTGAAAATCGCAACTTTTAAGTACGAAAGTAGTACGCAAAGTCCACTTTCGCAGCTGGGGCTCGAAAATCGCGACTTTTTAGTACGAAAGTAGTACGCGAAGTCCACTTTCGTGGCTGGGGCTCGAAAATCGCAACTTTTAACTACGAAAGTAGTACGTGAAGTCCAGTTTCGCAGCTGGGGCTCGAAAATCGCAACTTTTAAGTACGAAAGTAGTACGCGAAGTCAACTTTCGGGGATTGAACATCGCAACTTTTAAGTGCAGAGAAAGATGGGTAGATAGATAGATCAATAAACAGATATAGAGATAGCTAGAGAGATAGATAGAAAGAGAGAGAAAGAGACAGAGAAACAGAAAGAGAAAGAGAAGAGAGAGAAAGAGAGAAAGAGAGAAAGAGAGAAAAGAGAGAGAGAGAGAGAGAAGCAAGGGGCCAAGGACAGTTCTCCAAACTATAGTTGTTCACTGCTTTGAAACTTCCGCCCCCCGGCTCTGCCGGACCTTACTTGTAAATTGTACGGTTGTGTCAGACCTCTCGTCGTGTTGGGCTGCCCACAAGTTTTCTTGCAACAAAAGCTGGACATTAGAGACTGTGGCTCACACCAGTTGGCTCAAGCCAGGATGTGGACAGAACCTAGGTTGTCAACACCAGTTGCCTCTGGCTTGCATGGGTTGCGGCGGATCGGCGCATGCCCGAGATGCCAGAGTGAGAGCAGTACCAAGCAGCAGAGCTGTGTGTTTCCCATATGCATTTTGTCAAGGCAAATGTAAACGCTGGAAGGTGTCAAAACAAGCTCTTCATGATGAGTTGGAGGCTGGAGCATCAGAGAACAAAGCATAGCGAAACCATGGATTATTTGCAAACCGCAACACTGATTGCCTTCTTGTCTTGTGACAGGCCCACGAGCGTGAGCTGGAAACTGAGCGACGACGCCTGCAGGTGCGGACTCTGAGCATCAGTGCTCCGGTATTGTCGCGTTTCATAATGAGCTGCGACAGATTGCTTTTTGTTTTTGAGGAGAAAGACTCTCAAATCGCGAGCGTCCAGGAATGCAGCTCACTTGGGTGGATGGGCCCCGGGGTTTTTGGGCTGCCAGAGCTACTTGGTCTTTGTGCACAGTATCAAGCTTGCCACCCACCTGCGATAGCTGAGTTGGCACTGCACCTTCTAAGCTGTATGATGCCATTCTTTTCACGTCCAAACAGTCCCAGGCTTGCAGCGACAGCTTCAAGGCTCAGAGCAGGCATGCCACAGCGTCGTGGAACTCTGGTTTTGTTACAGGTCAGAAACGAATTGGCATGACAAAACAATTTCCACATGTTGTTTGGTGTGTGAGGAAAACAACTTGGGCGTGCAGGAGTCCTCACGGTCCAGCCGCTCTCTGGAAGAACTCCATTCAGAGCTGCAGGACCATTAGTTTTCTTGGCGAGTTTGTGTCACTGGAGCCTGGCAGGCAAAACATCGGCACCATGAGGAAGCTTTGGAGAACCAGCAGAGCACCCAGTTTTTAGCAACTTGCGAAACACTCATTTCGATCAGGACATGGCCCTTGCCACTCATACGCGGCCAATGTCATTGATGTTCTAGTTCCTTGTCTTGGGCGGTGTTGGGTAGTATGGTGGCTTGGTAGATTTGCAGGCTGGTGGTTCCTGGAAAGTTTGGCAGCTTGGTAGGCCGGTTGACAGGTCGGCAGGCTTCTAGGTGGGTCAGGCCAGTTGGTGGGAAGGCTCGGCAGGTAGGCAGGGTAATATAAGCAGATAGAAATTAGGGAGGCAGATAGAGACAGCCAGAAAGGTAGACAGGTGGCTTGGTTGGTTTGGTTGGTTTCTCGGCTAGCTGGCTGGCTGGTTGGCTGATGGGTTGTTTGGTAGCATCATTGGCAAGTTCTTCCCTGAACAAATTCGGAAATTGGTGCCCATGATGCCGCAGCAACCTCGAAAACCCTACGATCAGTGAGGGAAATCTTTGTGCCAGTGCCGATGATTATGCAGCATCAAGCATTGTGTATGAACATTGGCCTTCCCTGAAAACTCAAGATTTTGGCATCCAAGGCTATTGCCAGCGACTTTTGCTTGTTTGAAGGCGGAAGCGAATCGAGGAGGAGCATAAGGAGGCAAGCTATTTTCCAGTTGCAGCTTGCTGGCAATGAGCTGCTCTCACCCACAGGAGTTGCATGCCACGCTGAAGGCTCGTCCGCTGCATTCAATAGCCACCTGATGCACTGCGCCAAAGTGGTATTAGGGGATGGTGGCAATGGCTGCGCCCAGTTGCTGTCAGATTGCGAGTCACCTGCAAGGCCCGGGAGCAAGAACTCATCCGAACTCTCGGAGACCGAGCAGAGCAAGCAGAGCGGGAGGTCAGAAGTGTTGAGCCGCACAGCAATCCTTCACTTTGGCATGCCTTTTGTGCTCGAAGGCGGTCAGCCGCAGAGAAGCTGAGGAAATGGTTGCTAGCCTAATCGCGAGCTTGCTTCTTACAAGGCACAAGTACAAAGCAGGGCAAATCTGAGGCCAAAGCTGAAGTTGCGGCTGGGCTAAATCAGGCGCGGGACTTGTTCAGCAGGTTGGATTTATACAGAATCACTTCTTGTGCAAATGAGGCCAGGGCTGCTGCTGATGTGGAGGTACGCAAACATCGTGCGGAGGTAGAGGCAAGCGCAGCTGCCATTTGTTTCATGTGCAGATTCGCTCTTCTCCAGGCTGCTAGGGCTGAGCTGCGGATGCTGAGGGGCCAGGCAGATGCATGTTTCGCAGAGTATTGTCTCGTTTGATGGTACATGATTTAGGTTTGCGCACCATCTTGTGCTTGGTTCTGTGAAGTGCAGCATATCAAGACACAGAGACTCACAAGGCAATCGTACCCATACTCCAGCGAACAGATTCGAAAGAAGTGGCACTTGATCCGGAGCAATGTGGCGCTTTTTGCGCTCTTCGCTGTTTCGACCGGCGAAAGGCGCAGATGTGTCACGTGACTTTTCCTAGCGTTGTGTTTAGGTCTGCATGTCGCAGTCACCTAATCCGCATTCGATCTGTTTGTCGTTGCGATCCGCATTCGGCACAATTCATTCCCCTTTGCCTGGGAGTGTTGATTTGTTCGTAGGAACTGATAGTTTCGAGATGTGTTTGACGAAATTTGTTTGCCCAAGCCAAATGTTTGGCCTTTAGCTCTGGCACTCCAAGCTGGGGAAACTGCGCTTAAGTCAGCTTGAGAAAACTCAATTGATTAACGGCAATTATCGCTAACAGCTTCTGCAAGTAATGTGCTCTGGTTTTTGTAGTTTGCAACGTGATGTATTTATCAACCATAACAACCCCAATTGCATGAGTGTCTCACTAGCGTAGCTCCGACTCACCCGCTACGCATGGCTCAAGAAAAGCGCGCTTTTTGCAGGGTCTAATGTTGACCCTTTGTGGTTGTTTAACCTGTTCTATAGGTTATCAGCCGTAAGCGGCTCTTTGTGCAGAGTTGTACGCCATGGATGGCGATCCTGGACTACCTCCTACCGAGGTGCGTCCCAACCTGATGGCATGCGGGCGATGAGGACGCCTCGCAATATGAACCGACGAGTCGCGCGAATTCCAAGTGGCCAGAGAGCTCATCAGGAAGGGACAAGCTTTGAGCAGTCAGGGCCCCGAATCGCTTCGATCTCGGAGCGACCGTGGCATCGGCATGGTGACATCGTCATGTATGACCCTCAGGCCGACCTCGCAAGGGGAAACCCTATGCCACAGTCCATGACACAATTTAATCAACATGTTGCGAACGTTCACCTCGATCCCGCCATGACGGTCAACCAGGAGGTGACGAACTATCAGCAAATCAATGCTACTCAGAACAATGCCCAGTTCAACCAGTTCGTGAATCAGGACACCGGTCCCATGGTCGCCCAATTGGCGGAGGCAAGACACGGCGAGATCATTGCCGGACTTCAAAGCCGAGATCCAAAAGAATGCGCAGCAGCGTGCAAACACTATGAAATCAGAAAGAGAAGCCGAGTGTCCCAAGGAGGCACTACCGTTAGGTAGGCGTGGCCGCGAGAGGACTGCCGATCACCCATACCACCAGGGAAGATGCCCATGTAGATGATGTCAAAGAAGTTCTGCACGCTGCATGGGTGGTACGCGATTTTGGGCATTCCGTGAAGTCCTTGCAGAATCCAGGCCGCACTCCTTTCTTGGCATGCTTGATCGAGTAGCTCACGTCCATGGTGATGGGCTCGCCAGGGATGGTGTCGAAACCGCTTGCCTCCGTGACCCAGTCGTTGTGCCCGGTAAACGCTCTGATTCGCAGTGGCATGAAGTCAAGACTCTGACCATTCCACTGTTGTCCTGCCGGGGCATACTCCACATAGACTTCGAATCTGGTAGATGCGCTCGCAGCCTGCAGCAGGGTGTACTGGGAGCAGTTCCAGTCGCAACGGCGCTGGATCCATTTTGCAACGGCCGCATAATCGAAGGAATTATCCTTGAGGTTGATCTCGGGGATTGACCGTGTCGCGTGCTCATGGGCGTGGCCACGGACAAGATACGAGATCTTCTTGCTCAGGAAGGCTTTCTGGCCGAAATTCTGGATCTGAGGGATCTTGATCCCCAAGCACTTGATCCATGCTCGCCTCGGCTCCGTAGTTTGGCCACGGGTCTCCGGGCTTTTCAGCAGCTTTGGGAGCCGCCTTTGCCTTTGGGGAAATGTCCGGGCCACGGATTTCTCCGGGCTGAGTCTTGCTACTGCCAGCCTCGGATGCCGTTGCCTGATCACTGGATGAAGCAGCCTGCTTCGGCATAGCCGTTGCCTTCATCTTCGGAGTCGCAGCCGCGAGGGCCACCGTCATCTTGTTGTGACTTTTCCTTTTGGAGGTGAGGAAGAGCTTGATCAGGCCGTCCTCACCAACGTCGTTGGGATCCACTGCAGCAACCTTCACGGCCTGGCCTTTCGGCCGGCTTGCCTTTTTGGCTGATAGCCAGAGGGCAAGTCCATGGAGATGACCTGATCCTCCTCATCCGAAGAAGACCAATCAATCACGTCATTGTGGCCGCTGACGGTTGCAGCGTGGATGTCGGGCTGCATCATGCGAAGAACTTTCACTTCTTCTTTCACTGTGTCAAGGGGAAACAAAGGGTTCGCCTCCTTTTCGGCCTCCAGGAAAACTTCGCGTTTCGGCTCCTGCGCAGCAATCGTATTGATTGCCTCCAGCTCCTTCTCACGGATCTCATTGTCGAACGCATCCTCAGGATTCTTTGCAGTTGCCGGACCGCCAGTTTCCTGAATTGATGCACCGTAGATCGGAATCGAAGCGTCGATGTTCAAGTACTCCCTTTCCAGGCGAAACCAGTTCATCGCACCTTCGAATCTCGTCATCTGGCCGATTGAATACCCCAATTTGGCAGCCGCGACAAAGTAGTTGATATAATGCTTGCGGTTGCGTTCATTATCATCAGTGTGGACTCTGTCGGCTCGGGAGGTGTTCGAGCTGAGCGTTTGCGGGTCCAGTACAGTTATCCCAGCATATCGGTGGAGAAGTTGAGAATGTCCGTCCATCTGTACCTTGTACGACTCACTCAACCCATAGGTCTCAAAGTCTCTCGGCATGATCAAGACGACCTGGATGACATCAGTCCTGAACGCGATGTGACGAAGTCGGTCACGAACCGTCATAACGGCCCTCGCATTCCGCTCGATGATGTCCACCGGCGCTTTCCTCTTTGCCTCGGAATCCGTGGCCCAGCCCGCTAGGGCGGCAGGGTTGTCGATGTAGCCATTACGACCGACAACGTCGTTCCCGGACCACGAAATGACAATGACATAGGGTCTGGCCTCGGGCCTTTCGGCGAGCTTCAACATGGCTCGCTCGGCAGCGTCAAGTGACTCAGATAGCCCTTTTCCCCACGTCATCTCCGACCAAACCTGATGCTTGTGGCCGAAAAGAGTCACCTGGTTCTCCTTGATGATGGTGCCAACATCGGTTTTGGATCCATCTTTGACCAACGCGTTGAAGGAATCACCGAAAAATAGGTGAGTTCAAGGAGCTGATGGATTTCTGGGACGTCGAGAAGCAGGTGACCAGGGGCCACGCCTACTTTGCGGAGCGCACCATCCGCACCATCAAGGAGGCCATGTTGCGTCGCATAGCAGCCGGAGCGGGCCGGCGGGGCCAGTGGCACCTCATGCTGCCCGACATCTTGAACCAAATCAACGGAAGGAAGCACGCTACCACGCAGGTGGCGCCGAACCTCGCCTACTCCGACCCCGAAATGGCCGAGATAGCTCTGCGCAACATCGAGCGCAGGGCCAAACACAAGGTGACCCGGGGATATGGTTAGGATCAGGGTTAAGCCGTTCGAAAGCAGGGGCTCCTACAGGGTCAACGAGATAGCCTGGAGCGAAAAGGTTTACAGGGTAGTGTCCGTCGAGAGCGGGGAGATGGGGGCGAGGTTTGGCTTGGAGGGGTGGCCGGAGAAGGTGGTGCCTCCGAAAAGTCCCCGAAAACGCAGCTCCCGAGCCGCGGGGGTGCAGTTCCGCCAACGGAGGCTACAGAGAGGCCCCCAGACTCCCCCCTCCCTTTCGCTGATCGTGTTCATGGCGCTGCGATATTTCACGGCGCGGAAGAAAGGCAGGTGGTGCAGGAGCCGATCGGCCAATCAACATCGCTGTGGACGTCGAGATGCTGATCCAGCTTGGCTGCAGGCTCTACGCGCCCGGAGACGGGGAGGCCTTGGTCACGGAGGATTGGATCACCAACAAGGTGATCATTTATGCATACGATGCAGAGTATGCAAGATTCATCTAGTCCAATCGCATGTACGTCAGCTTGCGAGGGAACTACCAGGAAAGCATCAAGAAATTTCGCGAGGACGTGAAGAACGGCGTGAACGCGACGCCTGTCCTCGAATCCTTCATGGCCAAAACGGACAAAGAGTGTAAGCTCTCTTACAAACAGTGGGCTCCAACTGCATGCCGTGACATGACGAGGCCGCGCAGGATCGGAGGCGTCAACAAGATCAAGAATGTCTTCGACGAAAACCTTCCGAAGGATGAGCAGGTTGCCCTTGAATTCAATACGGCTCGATATGGTCTCTACAGAAACTGGGCGCGTGCGGTGCAGCAGCAGCCCGGGGAGACCCGTGGCCGGAGCGGACTTTGGCAGGACCTGGATCCCAACCAGAAGAAGTCGACCAATTGGCGCTTCGCGGAGGTCATGCGCATCCCCGATGTCGAGTGTCCACGCTGCAAGATCATGATCCCTGAGGGCGCAATCCATTGCTATCAGTGCGATAACCTCAACGAGCGCACGCCCGACATCAAAAAGATCGCAAGGGTCATTTGATTGCAAGAGATGGCCAACAGTTTGGGTGCCGCTTTCGTTGGATCAGATTGAGACCCAGATCTTGACGCAGCGCAAGGATGCGAGGGGCGACCGTAGCGCCAGAGGGGGGCTCGGTATCATGAAGGATATCGCAAAGAAAGCCGTGCTCCGAAACAAGGAATACAACACCTTGTATGAGCGGCTCATCAATGACCCTTTCTACGTGTACACGGCCGCGCGGGGAGACCTGACGCCATCTGCTCTCGAGTTCATCGAGAAGGTTGCACGCTGTATCATTCCCAGCTTTGAGCGTAGGAAGGAAATGATTCAGGGAAGCGTTGCTGTGCCACTGGATGAAGACGTCAAGGAGATCAACCCCAAGGATGTGTACGTCGTTGGGGACCGAGCAATTCGCCGCCTTGTACGGTAGCTTG